TACCTGCCGTCCCTCTCGCGCCAGAGTTCGTTGGGCCGTGCGTGACGGCGCGCCCACAGCCATCAAGCGATGCTTTTAATGTGGTTTTTTGGTAACGCCATATTCGGCCGTATTTTGACGCGCGACAGATCCATTTGCCAAACCTCTCCGAGTGGCGGGGGCTTCTTCCCTGGCCGCCGTCTCCGCCTCCCACGCGGCTTGCTGCGCCTCTTTAGCACTAATGCGTGCCTCTCGATCCTTTAGTTGGGCGCGGGTCGCCTCCAACTGCTGTTCGCGTCCGGCGAGCGCGCACTCTCGTTCTGCAAGAACGCCGCCGGCGACCGCAATGTTAGCTTCGCGCACCGATAGGTTGTTACGCGCCTCTTCCACCTGCGAATGAGGCTGAACGCTTCGATTCTGCACTTCCACGGCGGCGTGGGCGTATTTCGTGCTCAGGCGCTCCCCTTCAGAAATGATCAATCCTTGCCACGCGCCCCAACTCCCGGGCTGCGCCCATGATGGGCAAGATCAATTGATTCTCAAAATTTGCTAATTGAAAAGTCCGGAGATTCGCAATATCTCCTGTAAGGCTCGAATCCTCCCAGGGCTTGGTGATGTTTTCCAAAATCAGGCATCAGCCTGTCGATGATGCGGCCACAGTTAACGTCTCATCCGACATCTCGGTTCCACTAATGAACGTTGTCTGCACCTCGGTTTCGCCACGTTGGCGTACCATTTCCCAGAGACGGGCGCCAATATCACACCACTCAGAGGCCGTGTAAGGAACCAGTGCCATTTCATTAAACCAAACTGGCTGTGTCTGCAAGCTTAAAATAAAAATAAAAAATTGTCTGGCCGCTATCGGTCCCCTGCCCCTTTAAGGTCATGGCCTTCCCAAAATTCATACGATAGGAAAAGTCTCATAAAGAAGAGAATTAGTTTTACCAGAATACATATACATCAATCAAGTTCTACAGGTCTCCCGCAATCATTCTCTTCAGAAGCTCCTAAAAAAAGAAATGTAGTAACACCGTAACACCACCAAACACAATGATTCCCTCGTACCGGGGCAATTCTCCAATTATGCCTTGTATGCACGCACACACAATTAACATACTATATAAAAATCACCCAATGTTTTTCACCAGAAGCCAAACATCCCCTTTCCCTCCCTAATTTTCTTCTGTCACTGTTATGCTCCATAGCGTTGGAGATTTTTGGCATTTTTGTGCGGTGCTGCCGCATGGGGCTGGTGCACCCGCACCGCATGCACACACACGTATCCAAAAACAAATAAGTCACCAAATACTTTTTACCAGAAATCAAAACTGCCCCCTTCCCTCCCTAATTTCTTTTCATATTTCGGTGGTTCTTCCACACTGCGGTGAGCGTCTTATCCTCTAAAGTCTTAGGATTATATTGACACTTGATACGGGTGTGCCTTCTCCTTCCGGAACCACGCAATTTTTTGGTTTTCCTTCTCGCTCACATTATCGGAATTTACAACATCACATCTCCGCCAGCCAATCATTCATCGGCGTGCCGTCTGCGTGCTGCACATAAATAATCTCCCACGACATGTCTCGGGAAGATTCATCCCAACCATCAAAATATGCCGCCAGGCACTCAGTGAACTGCCTTACGGTGCTGGCGGTGGTGTGGTGCCCACCCGCCGTAGCCATCCGCAGCCCAACCAGCGTCATGGGATTTGTGTCCAAAAAGAAAAAGCCGTCCACCAGCGGAAATTCCTCGACCTCCGGTATGTACAGCAGCCGGTGGTTTATACAAGTCTTCTTGTCAATGTGTTCCGCCGAAGGCAAAAAATAGTGGCTGGTGGGGCCCTCCTGCGAGTACACTTTCGGCGCACAGAGGCGTGACTGACGTCGTGATGGTGGCCTCAGCTCCTTCAGTGTACAAATTACTTCAGTCATGAAATTCCCATTCAAAAATGCAAACACGGTGCTCTTCCCAAAATATTGCGTATATGAGATGATCACCAATCCTCGATTCAAATAGGTTAAACTCAGCCTGCGTCATTAACTGTGCCAACATGCACAGTGGTTCACTTGCGAGATGGGCAGTCATCGGTGCATTGAAAGGCGACTCGCCATTGCGCTCTCCTCGTACTCGGACAATCCTCGTAAGATATTCGAGCGCCTTATTAACCTCTCACATTTTTGGAAGTTCCAAAAACAAAGTAACGCTCGATTCCCCAAGAGGGCGTCCTATCCACAAGGCTGTGGCAACCGTCGATCCGTGCGTTACAATTCCCTTCATCAAAGATGTAGCGAAGAATCGGTCCCACTTTATCCATGCGACCCCTCAACTCTCGCCAGTGTTCCGCTTGCTGCTGCACGGGTTGATTGCGCTTCTTCCAAACGCACATTGCCTTCACATCGCTCTCATCAGGGCAATTCATTATGATTCGTACGGCTCTCTTTTCACTCGCCCAGTGTATGTAACTTGTTATCTCTGGTGTGGCCACCACAATCATGACCCATTCTCCGGGAGGCAAACAAGGAGGCAGAATACCAAACCTGCCTCCCAATCCGTAGATAATATACCCCTTCATCCCGCGCCAAGACAGGTCCTTCACAAGTTTGATCATATGTTCTCATCGATGTGTTTTTTCACCGCCTTGATGGTCTTTTCAGACACTTACGCCTTAACTCCACCAACAAAGCTCACAACCATTTGGAGTTGCTCCGCATCGCAGTGCAGCAGCTGGTAGAGGAGGTACGAGTCGGCAGCCGTCGATTTCCCAATCCCGGGCGTCCCAATTAAGGCGTGCGGAATTGGCGTAAAGTGCTCCTCAGGAAGACTGTTGAACCACTCGGTTACATCGCCCTTGACGATCTGCCACACTCGCTCCACCTCACAGTTCACATAGCAGTCACGAGTGGATTTACTCATCCTCCTTCCATTTCCACGAGCACGGCCATCCCTTCTCCGAGGTGAGCACCATCAGCCTGGGACGCGGTGCACCGAATTGCTGCGCAGCGTTATTCTTTTCGAGAGTGTCGCCAACTGCCTTGTACGTCCATGAATGCTGTGGTTCCTCCTCCCTCACATCCATTCCCGTCCCCTCGCCGTCAGGAGCTTCCACGACATGGCTCCACCTCGCATTGTACACAGACTCGTAGCATCCCTCCAGGTACCTCCGGTGCGCTCGACTTCTTTGGGTTCCTCGCTTCCTCGGCAGCTGCATCCAAAAACCTTGTAGTGGTACCATGAACACTTGCCGTTACCTCCGCAGCAGCCAATAACCACCTCAGTAAATTGTCCATACAATGCTCTTAAAGCTTGCGTACATCCTCTTCCATGTCCATTTCATCCCTTACAGCCCTCTCCATCATCGCATAACGATCGGATGCCTGCATTTCCCCCAATACTCCCGCATCGCAAATATACTTCTCGGGACCCTTAAAAACCCCTCCCGCAAGACATTCCGATTGGCGTCCACAAAGCCCCTGCCATCAAATCTCTTATTAAGAAGCTCATTCAGCTTTCTGTCCATGACACGAACTTTTCGTTCAAACAGTACATCTTCAATCTTAGTTACAAGGGTGAATTTTCTTCGCTGCTCCGAGTATCCGTCTGGCATTTCAAGAGCCGAATCGAGTTTTTGCATTGCCCGGAAATTGATCGTATCCTTCCTCTCATAGTCCCTCCATTGAAGAAGAAAGAACACACCCTCGTGAAGAAGTTTGTACACCTGTTAGTCTGTCAAATTAAGAA